AAAGGTGTTCTCTGCAAAAGGTGTTCAGCTCATTTTCTTCGCAAAACAGAAAGGAGAATTCTTCTGCCTGTTCTCTGAAAAAGGCGTTCAGCTCCTTTTCTTCGCAAAACATAAAGGATAAGGCCGAAGGCCGCCTACGCTGAAAGGTGTTCTCTGCAAACGGTGTTCAGCTCCTTTTCTTCGCAAAACAGAAAGGAGAATTCTACTGCCTGAGGGTTATAATCCCTAAGTGCGGCCGAAGGCCGCCTACGTAGAAAGGTGTTCTCTGCAAAAGGTGTTCAGCTCCTTTTCTTCGCAAAACAGAAAGGAGAATTCTACTGCCTGAGGGTTATAATCCCTAAGTGCGGCCGAAGGCCGCCTACGTAGAAAGGTGTTCTCTGCAAAAGGTGTTCAGCTCCTTTTCTTCGCAAAACAGAAATGAGAATTCTACTAAGTGAAAATTCCGAATTAAAAAATTCGCTTTTATTATTCAAAATTCCAGTCTGGTAGCACCAAGTTGAATGTTATTTTGCTATCTTATTCATCGTTTATATGAAAACTTTAACAATAAATTATATTAGAACTATAGGGTTGCTAGAAAAAGGGGGGATATTTTTGAAATCAGTAGGTCCTATTCTACCCCCCTCACCCCAATTTTTCTAGAACTTGCCGTCCGTCTACTAAAATTTTCCCTTTTTTATGTTTTTTGTTGTAGAATGAACTATATTTTTTTTACGAAATTAGCGGAAAAATAGAATGAAAATTTTTGCTTATATTGTGAAAAATTTGCTGTGCCAATACTTTGTTCCGGCAGTGTATGTATATGGTTTTTGGATCAGTTCTTGTAAGTTGTGTAGATGACTTCTGTGTTATTAGGAAAACGATTGAAAACAATATGTTTTCGTATTCCAATGAATTTGCACTTATTTACCGACGTAAACCCGATAAATATGGCTTATACGCTCTACGGTAAAAATAATTCGAAAGTTTCGCCGCTGATAATAATGCATGGCCTTTTCGGTTCACAGAAAAATTGGAAATCTGTAGCAAGGGCTTTAGAAAGCAATGTCGATAAGATGGTAAGAATAATTCGTTTAGTCTCTTCCGATTGCAGGTCAAGTTACTCAATCTCCGTTCTTATTTAACCTAATATGAATTACATAAAAAAGTTTTGAATATATGTATCTACACTGTGGCTTAGGGAACGGCATGGGCATTGTGAAATAATAAGCCAGTTCCAGGTACTTAAGGATTTGCAGGTTTTACAGGATTTACCTGAAAAGCTGTTTTCGCCTTAAATAAACTTTATGAAAGATCGCGTGCGGGAATAGCTTCCTGTAAAAAATTGGGTAATTGTGCAGTTCATGGGTCCCACCGTAAAATGATGCAAAATAATCGATAGGAGTATCAAAAGACGCGTACCCCTGCCAGTATAAAAGCTGAAGCTCCATAGCAGGTTTTTCAGGTTGCGGCTTGAGGCGCTCAAGCCTGAAAGATGATTTAGTGCAAGGTAAAAGTGCACTTCGGCGGAACCAGGCCAAATGCAATTATATAGAAGCTGCTCCACAACCGAGGTCTGAAACGCCTGAAAGATGCCAACTTTCGAACTTGTGTCAGGCTTTTTAGGCGGGTCTGACAGTTGTGTTCGAACATTAGCACCCCTGCAAAAAATTCGACTAATGCGGGATGATTCCGGGAACAATCGCAAAGGAACATGCGACTTGATCTTTTTATATGGAATGAACTGTTCGCTTTTGTTCGAGCATGTCCTATGAAGAGACTAATTGTTCCCCTTTATACCCGAACGGGTATAAAAGGCGTCTAGTCAATTTTAAAAAATAAAAATTTGCGCCAGCTGCGATTCGAAACGGGGTTCAGAGCATGATCCGAACCGTTTTTGCACTTTTGGATTGGTTCGTCAAAGCGGTTTTTTTTGGTCTTTGAACCGGGGTTTCGGTTCGGTTCAACGGTTCGAAAAACAAAAAAAAACACGCAAGTTTATAAGTGTCAAGTGTCAAGTGCAAGAACGCGCAAGGTTAATGCAGCGTTTTTCCTGCATTTAAAATGCAACATTTAGCACTTTCGAACATATGTTTTCGAAGAGCGTTCATGCTATCGCATTTAGCAAATGTACATTTACGCGAGTTCGAAATCGTATGCTTTTGACAAACAGCCGTGTTCCAGTCGCTTATTCAGATCCGTATCCATTACGATAAATTCTCACGGAAAAGATAATGTGCAAAAACCCCTACTGAAAAGGAAAAATAAATTCTAAACCGAAAATTCAATACAAAAACCTGAATTGTTTTAACCATAACCGAACATTTGTTTGTGTATATATTCATTTGTCGGTGCTGCCAATTATATTTTCCACACCTAATTAGGAAACAAAACAAACAGAGTTGATCACAAATTAATCCAGATTTCTATCAGCATCATATCGATGTTGAATTTGCGTAACTTTTCTTTATCCAAATAATGTAAAATAATAAATGAAATCTCGATCGGCGATCACTGAAACGCAGCTAGCGGTTGTATACTCGAAAAAGCAATGTTGCCACTTTTTCTGATTAAACCATGTTCGAATCGTGGAAATTTTGGA